GTCAATTGCATATTGGAAAGTCAAACTTTGACTTTTTGTTCAACATTACATTCCAAAGATCAAATTTCATCAAGACATTCAAGAATATGAAACTTGTTCATCAAGAAATCAAAAAAAAGAAGTCAAATTTCATCTTTCAAAAGTCAAAATTTCAAACTTAGGAATTTTTTCTAAGTGTTGGAAAATTCATGTTTTTTTCACAACTTTATGCCAAATTTCCAACATGATGCAAGATGATTCAAGGGAAACTTCCAACATGAAAGTTGTAGATCTCAATGAGATCTAAAACATTTTAGGGTAGAACTTTTCCTATAAATACTTGGATTTCAAGTTATGAATTCATGAAATCATGGCATTTTTGAATAAACACTTAAAGAAATTTTCAGCAGTTTTGGTCAGGTTTTTATCCCAACTTCTTGGCCAATTTTCATCAAGTTCCAATTTTATTTAACAAAAGTGGTCAACATGAATGTTTTAGAGGGTGTTTCAAGCTTTCCAAAACATCCAAGAGCATGAATTTATCATATTTGAGCTAGGAGATTCAAGGGCCTGAAGTTGGGCATTCATTCTTGAATTGCAAGCCATTTTTGTTGAAGAACACATAATCCAATTGGCATGATGTGCTGCATAATCTTACTTTGCAGGCCTTGTGACATGCAAATATTACCATAATTTAATGCTTACACAAAATTTTGAGCTATGGTCCATTTGGTTTAAGCATTGTCCAAGTGATCTTTCCATTTCTGGCACAAAGTTGACATTGCCATTCTTGCAAAGTAGCTTTAATCATAAAGTTAATTTCTTGAGCCTCTAACTTGTTTTTTCTAATCACACTAAACTTCTACAAGTCAGAACAAACATGTTTAAAGTGATCAACCACTTTAGATAGCTTGGTACAAGCATTGGAAACATGTTCTTCAAGCTTGCTTCATGTACAATCTAACCTAGCCATAACATGTGATCCAAAATATGAGTTTGTTCAAGTCTCAAACCTTCTCTATAAATAGAGAGGCCAATCACAAGAGAAAGAGGTTAGAAAAAATAGAGAGAAGGGAAAGAAAAAATAGAAGGGAAACTAACACTCAAACTCATTTTTGCTGTCAAAAACCAGATTTGTACACAAAACCTCCATTTTTGAGCTTTGAAGTCCAAATCTTTGAATCTCATACCTTGCAAGTTTTCTCCAAACAAACCATCCAAACACTTCATATACATCATATAGAAGTTGTTCAAACATAAGAATAACTTCTGTAACAACACTATCACCATCTTCTAAATTCGAAGACATACATTGCAACTTGACTTGGTTGGAGCAATTCAATCATTTTCTGCACAAAAGGAAGGTTGAAGCTACTTCAAGAAGGTTCAAAGGAGATAGATCAATCACCACTTTACACTTGGAAACATCCGTGCATGTTGTAAAGCTTCCTCTTCGAGAGGTAAACTTTCTCAAACTGTGATATCTTTGTTCATACATTATTTGCTTTTGCGTTCAAAAGATATAACAAGACAAATCAGAGAAAAACTAACAAAAAGCCAGACCCGAGGCTGACACGGGTGCCCGTGTCACACGACACGGCCCGTGTCAGCTTAGTTGGGTTGAAAAAACATGATAATGTGCAGGGACAGAGGCTGACACGGGTGCCCGTGTCAAACGACACGGCCCGTGTCAATGTTACTAGTGCGTACATGAGCAAAAAAAGATGAACAAGGGCTGACACGGGCGCCCGTGTCAGGTTGGCTGGAACCAAAAAATGCATAAAAGTCATGGATAGGTCCTGACACGGGTGCCCGTGTCCACTGACACGGCCTGTGTCAGCTCGGGCACCAAATTTCTTGATTTTTTTGAGATTTTTGAGTTTATTTTGGACATATTGCATTGCTTGGAAATGACCTAACATTATAAAACCTTTGTTTTCAAATGAAACCTCAAAAACATTTTTCTAAACAATTAATTTTTTTGTTAACTTAGACTTAGGTTTTTCTTCAATGAAATTGATTACATAACCTTTTCTATATAAAAAAACCCTAAAAAAACAATTTCTCTCACTTTACATCTTCTTGCATATTCTACTATTTTTGCATTATAAATTATGTAATTGTCAAAGCCTTGTAATAGTAATTAGGGTTTATTTTACTTGTAATCCCCATTTGTAAATTTGTATACCCCATCCCCATAATGATGTAATAGCGTAGTAATTTTACTTTCCGTAATTTATCACTTTCATATCAATGCTAGTAAATTAGGGTTTGTATGGAAAGATAAAATCAATGTTTAGAGAACCCTAATTCAAGATAAGCAATGCATGTAAATCAAAAAAACTTGCGCCCTTGCACCCCTAGGGTTAACTCCACTTGTTGCCTTACAAAAATGGCCATGTTATGCATGTGGGATATTTTAGCAAAAGAAATAAAAAATACAAGATCATAGTCCCTCGATGACGTTATCAAAGTTGCCTTTCAAAAATGATCTTAGTCCATAAATAAAATTCTAAGATATCTTACAACATTGCTAATCATGGCTATACGATGACCCTTGCCCGTCCCTTTTACATCCAAAGATAGGGTTACTTATAAAAACAATGGTAAGATAACAATGTCAAAGGAAAGAGGAAATAAACATGAAAGACTTTTTGAGTAGGTAGATTATTCCTAGTTGCTTTCTCATTTTCAAAATCAAAACATCCTTGCTATTTTCAAAACAAACACCAACACTTTCAAAACATTTTACAAACTTGAAAACATTTTCAAAAGATCAACATTTTGTATACATTCTTACGAACGAGAATCATTACAAAGTTTGCCTAAACAATGGCATCTTTACAAAATACTTTCAAAAACCACACAAAGCACATTTTCAAACAAAAGCAAGTGATCTAGCAAGTAACTAAGAGCCCATGGAAAACCATGGATGAAAAGGGTGCTAATACCTTCCCTTTTCATAATCTACCCCCCGAACTCAAGAAACAATCTCAAAGGTCTTTCCTGTGCTTTTTCACCTTTCCTTTTGGATAAAAGAAAAGTCGGTGGTGACTCTTGCTAACCACAACATTTGCGATAAAACGTAAAACAACCAAGTCAGTTCTCCCACCGTATCACAACAGGCTTTAGTGAAATTTTTGAAGACTGCTCACGTGCCACAAGAGATTTCTGCCAATCAATTTGGAAGTTATGTTTCTAGCTTAACGATTGATAATGGATTAGGTTTCTCTGATACCGATCTGACTCCAGATGAAAGAAATCACAACAAGGCCATGTATGTCTCCATTGAATGCAGGGGCGCTACTTTGGCTCATGTGCTAGTTGATATTGGTTCTTCATTGAATGTCCTACCAAAATGCGCTCTTGACAGACTTGATTTCGAAGGGGTCATACTGAAATCCAGTGATATTTTAGTTCGAGCCTTTGATGGATAGCAAAGAATGGTACACGGGGAAGTGGTCCTTTTATGTGATGGACATTCGACCAACTTATTCTTGCATACTGGGACACCCCTGGATCCATGAGGCACGCACTCTTACCTCTACCCTGCATCAGAAGTTAAAATATCCTGTGAACGGAAAAATTGTTACTGTCTACGGTGAAGAAGAGTATATGGTCAGCCACTTGAACTCTTTCCGGTATGTGGAGATGGATGGTTAATTCATCGAGACAACCTATCATACTTTAGAAGTTATCCCTCTTGCATCTACTGAAGATATCTATGTCATTCCCAAAGTTACTAGGGCTCCGCCCAGGATGGCTTCATTGAAAGATTCTAAAGCTATTGTAGAAGAAGGTGGTTGGACTATTTAGGGTCAGCTTCCTGACATCCCGTATAAATCTGACAAGTTTGGTTTGGGTTTCACTGTAGAGGGTCAGAGGGTTGTTCGTCACGCTCGAGCTTGAAGGCCACCATTTTGCATCAGCAATAACAGATTCAACGTAATAGAAGATGTTGATAATGATTATGACCTTGAAAGCTGGATCTTTCCTACCGTTGGAAATGGGCTCAGTAACTGGAATACGGAAGACATCATCTCTATCTCCTTTAGTCAGGAGTAATAGATACATTTCTGTTTTTTATTTGCTTTCAAGTTTTGACTTTGTAATATTTGAACAATGACTTTAAGCCTTGTGCCTTACCCAGGGCACAACAGTGCATTTGTTAAGGGTTGTCATTTCATAAACATATTTTCATTTAATAAAGCATTGGAAGTTTTGCATTCAAATTTTGTGCTCTTTGTCTTTCTTTTTACTGTTAACACTTTCAAATAGCTATGTGTTCTTACACACACCCACACAATACATTGCAGATCCACATCCATTCTAGATCCTATTGATAACGATTCTGCTATTGCCAATTATGACTTTGAAAATATGATCTACCAAACCAAGGATGAAAGTTAGGAAGATTGTGAAATACCAGGAGAACTTTCCAGAATGTTAGTGCAAGATGAGAAAGCTATTCAACCACATGAAGAGCCAATTGAAGTGGTAAACTTGGGCTCTGAAGCATACAGAAAAGAGGTCAATATAGGTGCCAACTTAGAGGACGGTGTCAAGAACAGGTTGATACAAATGTTGCATGAATATGTTGAAATCTTTTCTTGGTCATACAAAGATATGTTAGGGCTTGATATCGATATTGTGGTTCATCGTCTGCTGATGAAAGAGGGTTGTGCTTTGATTAAGCAAAAGGTTCGTTGTATGTGTCCCAAGATGTCAGAGAATATCAAGGTTGAGGTAATGAAACAATTCAATGCAAGGTTCTTAGCAGTAACATCATATCCTCAATGGGTTACAATTGTTGTTCCAGTACCAAAGAAATATAACAAGGTACGTATGTATGTAGATTACAAGGTTCTAAACAAGGCGATCCCCAAAGATGACTTCCTGTTCCTTGAAACAACCGGCTGAACAATCAACTGATAATGAAATCAATGAAGTCGCCATCAGACATTTTTTATCCCACGCGAAGGGAAAGGTAAACATCGAGTAAACCTGAGAAGGGTGAAATCATGATCAAACGACCGAGAGATCGGGTAAGGGAGTCGGTTACGTGAGGGGAAGTTATTAGCACCCCACACGCCCGTAGTACTCTAAGGTATCCACTTTTTTGTCTATCTTATGGGTGTGTTAGAATCTATATCTAGGATTAATAGCTAAAAGAAAATGCAAAGAGGGAATGCACGCAAACGAAAAGAGAAAATAATGTAGGGGAAAATAAAGTTGTGCTCGTATCCCTTTTTAAGAATCAGAGCAGCCGTAGTTTGGCTCAATAGTTTTTGTAGGTTTGTATTTTTTATGGACAATGTTAAATTTAATCATTCCACTGCTGCTCGACCATTGGAGTCTCGCGCATCTGTAGTGGAAAGGAAATAACATGCTCTCACCTAAACAGGTGTTTCAAAAGAAAAGGTTCCCGAAGGCGGATGATGTTACATTCATGACTCTTAGCAAGTAGACATGATGCAACTCGGACCTTGGGGAATTACGCGTCGTATTACATAGGGTAGGAAAATAACATATCCTTTTCGAGTTACAAAGAAAGGCCCGAAGGAGGAAAAGTTTGTATTGGTTGATATCTTTTACCTTGAAGAAGGAGTTAGAAGTTGTTAGAAGTTTTATGCTTTTCCAAAAAAAGATTTAGTATTAATGCAAGGATGCAAAAGAAGAAAAAAAACATCTAAGGGATACTAACCTAGATTTATCCCTAATGTTATCATACAATGATTAATCCTAAGGTTAAGGATGAAAAGAGAAATCTCTACCCTATATCAGCATGCATGGATACCTATCTTAATGTCTAGCTCGAGATCTACTCTAATCAAACAATCCTATGGGAACATGTCATAGCAAACAAATAAGAAAACAAGTGCTTTGGAAAAAGAACACAAATATGAGTAGCATATACTAACTCAAAGGGATGGGGGAAATAAGAGAAATGCTTTAGCTAAGGGGAGCATATCACCCGAAGAAAACAAGCGGGAGACAAATGTAAAACAAAAAATGTGACGTCCAAAGAGACTGAACACCTAACCAAGATATAAAAGATCGAGGTAAGCGACAGAAGATAATATGAATGATCACGGAGTGTCAGCATCGGCTAATGCGAACTCCTGACAAAGCGTGGGGATTTGATAGAAAAACTCTTCCTCACTTGACAGACTCGATACACGAGATCTTCATGACTCAGAAGCATCGACGTATAACGTGAGCTAAGGATGACACATACTAGAATGTGTGGGGGTCGATTACAGACCCTTCTCGCCTGCCTCCTCTTGAGGACTTATCATCTGTAATATAATGCGGGCACAAATGTAAAGGTACGTGCAAAATACCTACTACAAAGGTAGGATTTTAAACAAACACAAATAGCATACAGAAAGCGGTGCCTGCTACAGGACTTTAAACAGCGACTTTGAGCACACGCTCTTTATTTCCTACTTCTCATGATATCTAGAAAGTAGTAAAGTTCCTACTTCTCATGACCTCTAGAAAGAGATAAATGCTGAAATGAGGTAAACGAGAGATAATACCAAACAAACAAAACTTCATAGAGCTATGTGAAAAAACAAAGAAACCCGAAAAACTTTGAGTAAACTTCACCAAGCAACAAAAAAAAGTAAGAGATCAAATGCCGGGAATAAGCGTCGAAATATCGTCGATGTGAAAATAAATCACAATCGGAATCTCAAGCACATACGCATATCACACGATAAACCTAACGGAGAAGGTCAGGTACGTTGCCTCTTCGAAGCCACGCGAGCAAAGAGAAAACTCTACAGAAGCTGCTTTTCACAAGTGATCAAACGAGTTAATCTCCAAGCATTCCACATCACATAAGAATGCCTCACCATTATCACAAAATCTTAGCTAAAGATGACAACGAAAATGGTTACTAAACATAAACAATAATAGAAAATTCTAATTAAAACTCTAAAAAGATATCCTAAGAAATTCTAAGACATTCCTAAAAACAATTTATCATCTTTATTATTTTCATTATCTTTATCATTACTTTTATCAAAGATTAATAAAAGAAAATCAAATAAAATATTTGGAAAAATAAATCGTTAAGAAAACAAGATCAGAGGGGGTGTGAACAAGATTTTCTGAATGAAATTGATGTTTTTAAAAAGACATTGAGTCCAATATGATTGGGGTGCAAGCCAATGTCCACTTTGTTTCTCTCTTAAGTCCAAACAAAATAACCAGATTAATTGTTCTTCATTATTTAAATTATTTGTTTTATTAAAATGAAAATAATAATAAATAAAAAATTTGAAACTCCATTGAAACGATGTGTTTGGGAGGGTTTAGGTTTAAAAGTGTTATGCCTTTTCAACTTGCATGATGAAAATCTCCTCCTCGTTCCCGAAATCACTATAGCAGATAAACACTGCAAACTCCTTCCTCTTTGATCAACCTCCTTCGTCTTTGTCTCCTTCAAACGCCTTCCATCGTAAACTCCCTCACATCTATAATTATTTCATTATTGTCATCACCTTCATCCATTCTCCATTCAATACCTATCGCCGCCGTCGTCGCCATCATCGTCGTGGTTCTTCTCTCAATCACAATCTCAACGTCGTTTGCTTTTTTGTTCTCGCACTTCAACAACTCACGATCACCATCACTCATTACTACCACGTCTTCTATTCAATATTTGTTTACAATTTCTAATGTATTCAATCGATTGTAACACAAATAAACGCACACGGTTCACACATTGAAGAAAAGCTATGAAGAAAGGAAGATTACTTACCTACCGGAGAACTCCGTTGGCTCTTCTACAGCGACGAGTACACAAGAAATTTGGAAAAACCTTGACGTGAAATCTAGGTTCATAGATCTTCTTCTTCAATTTCTCTTTCTGTAATTATGTTGTTGAATCTACGATATTATGTGTTATTGCTGATTTGTTGCAGTTTGAATGAAGGACGTGAAGGGATGATTATTACTTGCGTGTGATGAAGCGGTTTCTAAATTGTGAATAATGCAGAGATCTTGCTTTGCAGAAAAAATGGTGTTGATGATGATGTGATTCAAATAGAATGCAAAGACGTTGATGAAGATGGTAAGAGAAGTGCGGTTATGACGGAGAAAGAGAGAAGAATTTTTTTAGAGTTTCTTTGTGATTCTCCAACTGATTAAGAATGAAGATCAAGATTTGTAGAGAAAGATCAAAGAGAAGTCAGGGACTTTTTGGAGTGTTTTGGTGATGATTCTTCCGGGAATTTGAAGAATGAAATGATCATGGTGAGTTTTCTCTTTTATATTCTGTTATTTCTGTTGGAGTTTGTTAGGAAAATCGGTTAGGGGTTGGAATTCTGTTGCAAGTTAGTGAAGTCTTTTGCTGTTAGTTGTTAGGAACGATTTTATGAGTTAGTTTCTGTTAATTTCTGTTATGCTGGAACTGAGTTTATTTTTTGATTTTGACTGGTATATACAAAATGCAAGGCTGATTTACAGTTTTATGGTTTCAAAATTGTTGACTGTTAGATGATTGATGCAAGCTGAACTGGTAGCATTTTGCTGATTTTAGTTCTATTAGGACTGGTGCAGGGAATGTTTGCAGGTTGTTGACTATTTTTCTGATTGAATTTATGGACCGGTTTTCTGCAGGTTATAGAATAGTCTGAGGTTAATTGAATGGCAGCAGTAAGTTTGCTCCCATTTTGATGCAAGATTTTGAAATGTCATTGGTCATGGCGAAAAAGCTTGGATTCAAGTAACTCTTGGAGTAAAACAACTTAGAAACTAGAGTTAGGTTTTGTAATAGTTTTTTTCTCTTTACACTTTTCCTTCCTATAGTGTTTCATGATGTAATGGACTGTACTTGAAGCTTGTAATGACATTTGAACTTATAATTCTGGAATCCCTCATGAATGAATAGATTTTTCTCAACCAATCTTTCACGTGTTCTTTGCAATTCCCTTGTACCAAGAAGTTCTTGGAATGACACCAATATGAACATGAATAATATTTCATGTCTGCAAATGAATAAACTTCGATGGAATTTAATGAGTAGCTATGACAAAAAATTAACATTTTATTTTCATTACTCAAAATTCCATGTTTATTATTCCTGAATTTTTGCAAGGTTGATCCTTTGGAATCTTGAATGATGGGTAATTATGAATCCAGTAACTGATGTACCAAGGAAATCATGTAAATACATCTTCCCCTTTTTAGCAGGCTTGAATTAAATCTTGACAAATCCTATGCTTAAGAACTTGGATCCAATCAATTAACTTGAACACAAATTCTCATTTATGGAATCACTTGAATGGACTTCGAATCTGAATCATCTTTCATTCTCCATGAACCTCTTATTTAAACCCTCCAAGTTCGAGCCAAACATAACTTGTCTGACAAGAAATTGATATTTGAAAGAATGATGATGTTTCGAACCCATAACCCGCGTCTTGTAACATGACCCCTAAACAACCAATGTATCACCAAAGAATCCTCAAGCTCATAGACTCTTATCGTGAATCCGACCCTTGCACTGATGAAGATAAGTCTTGAGAAATCCTGATGAAGATGATGCCATATCTTTAAAGCGATAGCCTAGAAACAAATTCAATGAAACTCATATGATGATCATACACAAGGTAAATCCTAACCTCTGACATTGATGAAACTGGATAGGGAATAACCCTTGAAGAAAATGAGATCTTCAGAGCCCATAAAACCCCCAAAGATTGCACAACCACAACCACTAAACTTGAACCTCAGGTATTTTATGTAAATGCGAATATATGCTCTAAGGATGAATGCAAAAGCCTAAGCCAGATAAGAGAAATTAAGAGGGAAAATTTTGGGGTACAACACTCCCACCTATTAATGTTTTGGTCGACAACACCGCTCAGCACAAGGTATTCTCCTTATGGATGGTTTCTCGGGCTATAATCAGATCAAGATGGCACCTGAAGACATGAAAAAGACTACTTTTGTTACACAGTGGGGCACTTTCTTCTACAAGGTTATGCCTTTTGGGTTGAAGAATGTAGGTGCAACATATCAGCATGCTATGGTAGCTTTGTTCCATGACATGATCCATCATGAGATAGAGGTCTATGTCGATGATATGATAGCCAGATCACAGACTGAAGAAGAGCATCTGGACCATCTACCCAAACTTTTTGAGATACTGAAGAAGTATAAGCTGAGGCTGAATTCGAACAAGTGCACCTTTAGGGTTAGGTCTAGTAAACTCCTGGGTTTTGTTGTTAGCGGTAAAGGTATTAAGGTTGATCCCGCTAAAGTCAAAGTTATTCAAGAAATGAACGCTCCACGTACTGAGAAGGAAATCAGAGGTTTCTTAGGACGACTAAACTATATTTCCAGATTTATTTCTCATTTGATTGCTACTTGTGAGCCGATCTTTAAGTTGCTGAAGAAAGATCAGGTAGTGAAATGGAACGATGATTGTCAAATAGCCTATGACAAAATCAAGGAGTACCTACAAGAACCTCCAATTCTGATGCCACCAGTTTAATGAAGACCTCTGATCATGTATTTAACAGTGTTAAAGAACTCAATGGGGTGTTTGCTGGGGAAGCATGATGAGTCTGGTCGAAAAGAGCATGCAATATACTACCTTAGCAAAAATTTCACCGACTGTGAAACAAGATACTCACTGCTCGAGAAAACTTATTGCGCTTTGGCACGAGTTGCTCACCGACTAAGAGTGTATATGTTGACTCATACTACTTTGTTGATCTCTAAAATGGATCCCATAATGTATATATTTGAGAAACCCGCTCTCTCCGGAAGAATAGCCAGATGGAAAATGGTCTTGACAGAATACGAAATTTAATACACCCCTCATAAGGATATTAAAGTAAGTGTATTGGTACATCATTTAGCTCATCAAGCCATAGACGACTACCAATCTATGAATTTCGAATTCCCGGATGAGAATATTATGCAAATTATAGATTATGAAGCACTTGGACCGTATGAAGGACCTGAGTCAGGATCTTGATAGACTATGGTTTTCGACGGAGCCTCTAATTCACTTGGAAATAGAATTGGTGTTGTAATTATCTCTACTCAGGGTTGCTACACACCTTTCACTGTCAGATTGTGCTTTGACTGTACCAACAACATGGCTGAATACAAAGCGTGCATCATGGGTATTAAAGCTTATATTGACATAAGAATCAAGTTTTTGAGTGTTTATAGAGACTTAGCCTTGGTAATCAGTCAGATTAAGGGAGAATAGGATACTAAGTACCTGAATCTCATTTCGTACCAAGAGCATGTGTTGACCTTAATCCCATACTTCAAGGAGATCACTTTTGAGCATATCCCAGGAGAAGAAAACCAGTTAGAAGACACATTGGCAACCATGTCGTCTATGTTCAAAGTCAGGTGGGATAATGAGGCTCCCAGAATTACTATTGAAAGGCTATATGAACCTGCACACTGCTATGAAATTGACACTAACGGAGTAGAAGAGAAGTCTTGGTGTCATGAAGTGAAAAGATATCTTGAGGCTCAAGAGTATCCTGAAGGGGCATCTATCAATGAAAAGAAATTCTTACGGAGGTTCTCTGCCAAGTTCTTCCTAAGTAATGGAATCCTGCAAAGCACAATCATGATTCAACTTTACTTCGTTGTGTGGACAAGGAGGAAGCTAAAGAAATCATGGAAGATATGCACGAAGGTGTTTTTGGTACTCACTCTAATGGAAATAAAATGGCCAAAAAGATTCTGAGAGCGGGTTACTATTGGTCCACCATGGAAACCGATTGCCACCACCATTCCAGAACTTGTCATAAATGCCAGATTTACATTGACAAAGTACATGTGCCACCGGTTCCTCTGAATGTCTTGACTGCTCCTTAGCCGTTTGCAATGTGGAGAATTGATATGATTGGAGAGATCAAACCTACTACTTCTAACAGACATCACTTCAACCTCGTTGCCATTGATTACTTCACAAAGTGGGTTGAAGCAGTCTCGTTTGCCTCCATTACTAAGAATGTGGTTTCCAGGTTCATTAAGCATAACCTTATCTATCAGTATGGCATCCCCGAAAGGATTATCACAGATAATGGTACTAATCTCAACAATGTTATGATCATAGAACTCTTCACGCAGTTCACGATCAAGCACCAAAATTCTTCTCCGTATCGACCGAAGATGAATGGTACAATGGAAGCTTCCAATAAGAACATCAAGTAGATTATACAGAATATGACATTGACATATAAAGATTTGCATGAGATGTTACCATTTTCTCTTCATGACTATCGTACTTTGGCTCGGACATCAACTAGGGAAACACAATTCTCCCTAGTCTATGGAATGGAGGTTATCCTACCTGTTGAAGTCCAGATTCCTTCTCTGAGAATTATGAAAGACGTAGACTTAGACGAAGACGAATGGATTGAGACTAGGTTGGGACAATTGAATTTAATTGACAAGAAGAGACTTGCGGTTGTCTGTCACGGACAAATGTATCAGAAGCGTATGATTAAAGCTTTCAACAAGGAAATCAAGCATCGAGTATATCAGGCTGGTGACTTGGTAATAAAGTGCATCATCCTACCTCAGGGTGATCGTAGGGGAAAATGGACCCCCACCTACGAAGGGCCATTTGTAGTCAAGAAGATATTTTTAGACGGTGCTATGATACTTACCACCATGGACGGTGAAGATACTACGCATAAAGACGACCCTCTAGGTTAACTGGCCTAGGTAAAAATAAAGGCATCTCGGCGAACCACAAGTGTCCAGGATAAAAATTAGGGGTATAAATATAAAGATTGTATACCCGACGAGTCAAAAACCTGAAAAGGTGGATTGGAAAAAAGGGTACCCTGGTGGACTGATAACCCGAAAGGGCGATCCAGGAAAAAATTAGGGATTAAAGCGTACAAATATGTCCCGTTAGATCACTTACAACCAACTTTATTACCAACGTCGAGTTTGAATGTTGTCGATCAATTCAATCAACTTCTTCTGACAAGCAAGGGATGAGATGCTCGAAGAAATAGGGGCAATAACAGAGTTGGAACCCGACGAGATCATTTACACATAGCTATATATTTTGTTTTCACTTTGTACTCTCTTCATTTTTTACGATGATTTCCTCTTACTAGGATTTCTGTCTCCTTGTACGATAATCGCCTATTTATGGGAAAACTATCAATATAAATGCAATTTCAAAATTTAAATTTTACTTTTTCTGTTTTGTTTGCAAAAATGTCCAATTCCTAAATTGAACGAACATATGCATATGAACATGATTACTGTTAACAAATATATGCATAAAAACAGGAATAAGTATTTACTCAAGACTTTAGGAGGCGGGATAATGTTCAAGTCGTCCATAAATCCCCACAGAGTAATCTCCAGTAAAGTCACCCCACATTGCAGTCCCCCGCGGAACCAACTTCACCAGTTCATCTTCAGCAAATACATATTCCCCGCAAGCCTGAAAAACTCTAATCATACTTACCGGCAGATCCCCCTAGCGGACAAAGGAGTGTAATCTTTCCCCGACAATGTCGCTAACTTACGGAATTCCAATCTTTAGTAGATTATGATAACATCACAGTTCACAAGAGTTCTCTTCCCCAACTGAGTTTATTTCTCCAACGCTATAAAATCCCCTGCAT